GTGGCTGCAGGAAACAAGTCAAGAGAGTGCCAGAAAAGTAAGTATTGCACATATTGGTAAAGGAAGGACATGTTAAAAGAGTTGTAAGACCAATTTCACGTCTGGAACTGGACCAAAGCCTACAAAAATTAGCCTGGGTATGCCATGCACCACACCTGCACTCTCCAGATAAAAAGTCCAAATCAGCAAGAAAGGCCCAGACCCCAGGAGCAGAATGATGAAAGGCCAGTTTCTCTCCACTCAATTAAAGCCCACCTACACTCTTGGTCTATAGCCAAGACGTGGTGCTGCAATGCTCTCACTCGATTTTGTCAACAGCCATCCCACCGCACTCAATTTCCCCTGCCCCACAGGCCCATGACCTCCTTCTCCAGACAATCCGTCCTGTTGAGTCTATCAAATGTGGCTGAGAGTGACAAACAGATGTGCATAAAAATGCATCGACTGTGTTAAAAAAAAAAAAGCATAATGTTTTGCATTTGAGTGCACTAAATGCTGATGGCTGAGATCTTAATGGGGTATTTGGGTTTATCATCTTAAACTGCATTATCCGTAATTATGGACCATATGCTATGCTGCTCTGGCAGTTGCAAGGGTATTCCCACCTCCACGAGCATGCGACTGTAATCTTGATGGACTGAGGCGGGCCAGCGCTGAAGTTCTCTGCGGTGCATCTGCACATTCAATCCGGCTTGTCAGTTCAGATCACTCACTTTTTTTGACAGCCAAATATTGATGCATTTGCATACCACCAGGTTATTTTAAACTACATTCATCAGCAACGAACACATACTTGCTTAGCTGTGCCAAACAAAGCCCTCGACAGTGTTCTGTCCAAAAAAGAGACTATTCAATATTTAAGCCACGGTGAAAATGTCATAAATTAAGTAAAAAACACATCTAAAGCAATCACAGGGAACAGGCTTCCTCCACCCACCCTGAAAAACAAAATGTGCATTTTAAATTCAATGCCAATGAATGGTTAAATGGAAGACCATTTTCAGTGCAGGCTTGAAACATTTTTGCCTCATTAAAAATGCAGTGGAGGAATAACAGGTGCAAGCCAACACAGCATTCTGGAGCTAAGGGAAAGCACTGATTTTTAATGAGCTTCTTCTACATCGAGAAGTGGGGGAGAGAAAGAGAGCGTTTGCCAGCCACTGGAGAATTGGCCAGAGCTGCTGTTTGTTTACTTGCAGTAGCATAGATAACGGATTCACTCCTGGTTTCTCTCTTTAACAGCCGGGTAAGGTGTGGAGTGAAATTAGTCGTTTACCCTGAGTATTTCTAAATGCATTTACAGATAATGAACATGAACATATCACCCAAGAAGTTTAATAGGAAGAAAGTCCAAGCGAGCAAATTTGCACTAAATTGATCCATTTCATCATTTTTTTTACTCCCTTTAATTATTTTTTATCATATCTCGTTTATATGTAGACTATAATGTTGGAAAAATCTGATATATAGCTCACTTCAAAATTAATGTTGCAAAGGCAATCGTGAATATAATTGTGTCCAACGGGGTTTTGTCATTTTAAACGACCCAGTCTATTACATTCTTGCTGTATATTTGGTCTTAAATACTGACCATGAAATAAGATTTAATTTTCCACTTGTATGGAAATAGATAAGAGAGCATGCCAAAAATGGTTCTGATTCAGTCAGTTGATCAGAATGTAATGCAATATAATCTAATGCAGTCACTGTGATTTAAAAATAAATAAATACAAATCAAAATTCAATGTAAACTGAAGAATATTACACTTTTTTTGGAAGTCTCAAAAAAGCATTATAAAATCAATCAACCAAACTTTTTCTTAGAATGACTTTTTAAATGGCCCTCACACGATATGTTAAAATGAGACTCTGACATACTTCACTAAGATTCCCAGATGGGACTAAATTATGATGAGCTGTATAGCTTTGACATGCCCTGACTATTCTCAAAAGGCAAAACATTTTCAGACCAATGTCTTCACTTTAAAGAAGTCCATTTTTAGATGTATTTCATCTGTAGGAAGGGTAGACAGACTGTCTGAAAGATCTTTGTGTCAGCTTTCCATTTTTAGGTATCATATCTCATATCATATCATAGATTTGACAAAACAAGGCAATCAAATTTATCTACATACCATAACAGGACCCTTGAATTACAGAAGGCCTGACAGCAGGTTGGTAGTTCACATACATTTTTTGAAGCATTTAAGCTGCTGTGATATTTCAAGTAATCATAAAATAAATAAATAAAACAACAAATGTGACCCTGGACCACAAAACCAGTCTTAAGTCGCTGGGGTATGGGGTCAAAATTATCGATTTTTCTTTTATGACAAAAATCATTAGGATATTAAGTAAAGATCATGTTCCATGAAAATATTTTGTACATTTCCTACTGTAAATATATCAAAACTTAATTTTTGATTAGTAATATGCATGGCTAAGGACTTCATTTGGACAACTTTAAAGGCGATTTTCTCAGTATTTTGATTTTTTTGCACCCTCAGATTCCAGATTTTCAAATAGTTGTATCTCAGCCAAATATTGTCCTATCCTAACAAACCATAGATCAATGGAAAGCTTTCAGATGATGTATAAATCTCAATTTTAAAAAAAGACTGGTTTTATGGTCCAGGGTCACAAATGGCCTGTATTTACATAATTTGAAAGAGCTACATATATATATATATATATATACACATATACATATACATACATTTTATTTAAATATTTCTATTTTTAATGAAATAAAAAGTAATCAGAGCTCAGAAGAGAGAGGACACCTCCTGAAGAGTTCTCAAGTAAACTTCCACATCAGTCTCATTACAATGGTCTCATACTCTATCTAAAAAATAAAAATGTTAGAATCAACCAAGAATGGAATGCACAATGAATATAAAATATTAATGTTAAATTACACGCTTCCATATATGCATCAGCGTGTGCTCATGAGCCTTTCATGTTCTGCTGCTTTCATCAGTGTTCGCTTGAGTTATATCATTATTCTGCTCTGAGAACCTCTGAGGAATTTAAAAGCCAACATCAATTTGGATTATTTGCCTTTGTCACAAGCAACACTTTAAAGATTAAATAAGCCGTGTTCAGAGAGAGATTAATTTTCAGAGTCTACATCAGTTCCATCTCTGTCTCTGATCAAAGATAACAGGTGACTGTTAAAAAGGTACTGAACTGTGTCAGAGGGTCTGTTGATGTCTCATAGTCCTTGCAATCTCAGAATAATAAATACATTGGTTTACCGTGATATGAAACCACTTACAAATGCATTTTAATATTGATTCTAATGATTTTTGTTTTGTTTTGACAGTAGCCAGAGTTGAGATAGTCTGTGTGAGTGCATTAAAATCAATATCCAAATATGATGCAAATTATGTGAATCCATGAAGTGTGTGGATGGGCATATATCAAGCTAAAAAGTTATAATTCAGGCAGCTAGTTATAATTAAAATTCTAGCATTTCATTAGTTTTGTTGGGAGCCCTGTTTACTTTTTTTGGTGTATCTTCTTGTTCAAGGGGTCCTGCTTCCGTCATATCCTGCACATGTTGCATGTTAAAAGAAAAATACTATTTTGCATTAATCATTCACAATAAGGGACTTCCCATCTGTGCAATGACATGACAACCCAAACAAAACAGACAGCATGTCATGGGCCAGTGCTATTCAGTGCTACTGAAGTGTGTCACCTCAAATACAGTTCAAGAAACAGCAGCAAGAACAACCTGTATTTTAATTAGATGGTTGAGTCAGAGGCAGTGAAAGGGCTGAGACTTTTTTTTCTCAAAGCTGTTTTGGTTTCCTTTTCTTCCATCAAAACACCCGCATGTGTTGGACAAGCATCGCTCCTCTGCTATTCATATGGTGTGATAAATAGCCATTGATCGGAGAATATCGAGTCTGCTGCAGGGCCGAGTTTGAATGTAAGCCACTGGTGTCGAAATGCTGTGTCCATTTATTTATAATCCCGGTCTAATTCACACTTAATCTTTTCATTCCCACATTTTGATAAATTCAGGGTTCTCTTAGATGTGTTTTTTCATCGTAATCATTTAAGGAGTTATAGACTTAATCCAGTTCTAGAAGGGTAAAAATAGCTACCGGCCAAACACCGATGGAGATAAATCACAGTTTCTATTGGATGGTTTCATGTTTCATTTGGAGCAGCAAAACTCAACAGAAAACAACCAAGGACCTTTTTAGTTTTCAAGAACAGTAGGTCACCTGCAAACTATAAATAAACATTAAGTCTTAATGTTAATCCTCACCATACATAATTTTGATTGTGTTGCATATTCATTATAATTATTGGTTTTTGACCCACAATGGATATTTTTCCTTACAATGCCTGGGATGATTTTATGCATTCCTAAAGAAATACCATTGAATAAAGGATCAAATAACATACCTGTACAAGGACACATGCTACAACATGACCTTTGGGAGATAAATCGATCCATAAATCTCCCTTTGAATACATGTCAAGTCCTAATCAATTATTAAAGTTGCCTATTATTACATCACATCAACCAGCTGGGCAAGAATGAAATTTGCTTTATTCTGTAATCAAACCTATTGTCAGTTAAACAAACAACAGATGGTACATTGTTACCAAGTAGGCTGTATTTAGGGTTTGACTGAAGATCTGAGCATCTTCGGAGCATGCATTTGAGCACCTTTGAAAGATACATCCAAAGATTTTTTTCTAAAGTCTTTTACAGATATTTGTATACATTTAAAGCATTCTAGTACGTTTAGAGCATGAACTCAACAGTTCAACCTATTCTATCTCAAGAGCTATTAATTATCTTACATGCAACTGCTTTCAAAAGGAAGATTGATTTCTAAGAACACTAATGGTGTTTTAGGAATAACAACACTGTCCAGCATAACCATTCCTAACACTTCCTAACAATCGCTATTGATACGAGCTAAATCAGATAGAGTCATGTAATGTCATCATTCATCGTCTCAAAGATAACTCACATCTCTGAAGCGGTTCCAGTGCTTGATCTTTCGACTGTACTGGGAAATGGTGGACAGCCACTGTTCATCTTCCATGAAATTCTCCGTCTTCTCCGGTTCTTTCCCGCTCTTAACGTCCACCTGCACGGAAACCCGTGCGAGCATCAGCAACGGGACGAGAAGACATCCCAGATCATTCATCCACACCATTATTCCGCTTGTCTGAAGTCTCGATTCCTCTGCTTTAAAGGGCGAGAGACGGATGCTGAGACTACAGTGAAGTGTGACCATTAATTCAACATAAAATGGAAATAAATTAATCACTTATAAACTGACAAATAAATTGACATATTTAAAATTGTTTATTTAATTAAAGGGGTCATATGATGCGATTTCAATTTTTCCTTTCTCTTTGGAGTGTTACAAGCTCTTGGCGCATAAAGAAGATCTGTAAAGTTGCAAAGACTAAAGTCTCAAATCCAAAGAGATATTCTTTATAAAAGTTAAGAGTCAACCAGCCTACCTAAAACGGCTTGTTCTAACAAGCCCCCACATGTACAGTAAATATGGCGGCAATTCTATGCCATTATTAACCGAGCGCACCACTGATGCTGGCGCGCGGGGTAAATCAATTCCGCGAGAGGAAAACAGATTTACACGCGAGGAAACGGGAGCCCGCGAGCTCATTTCAAACCCTCGCGCGCGCTTGACGTCCTCTGCGCGCAATACAAGCCCTCGCGCACGCATAATCATTTCCCACATCCTCGCGCTCGATCTTCCCTCACCTGCTCGCGCGAACAGATCACAAATGCAGACATGGTTTTATGTTTACGCGGCGCGATGCGATGCAACACAACTCGTAAAAAGACGGTATAAGTCATTATAATCTGTAATTATGTCCCCACTGGATGCAACAAATGCCTTGTTTGTAATGGGTTTTCATGTTTTTGTCTCGTCGCTCCGGCCGGACAGGGCATCACAATATGGTAAGGGGCGTAACATTTCCGTCACACGCTTGAGGTATTCGGCCAATCACAATGCACTGGATAGCTGGCCAATCAGAGCACACCTCGCTTTTCAGACCGATGAGCTTTGTAAAAATCGACGCGTTTCAGAAAGGTGGGGCAGAGGAGAAACAATAATGTACAGTATGTGGAAAATAATGTGTTTTTTTAACCTTAAACCGCATAAACACATTTCATTACACCAAATACACAAAATAATGTTCTTTTTAGCAACATCATAAGACCCCTTTAAATTCTGTTATTGTCACATTATAGGATCATTCGAGATCTCAGTTAACCCATCATCACTTAGAACAGAAAATAACCATGGGAAAATAAACATGCTCCACACTTTTACCTGCCATGCGTTTTTAAAACAGAACCAATTTCACTTATAACGCAGGATGATTAATAATAATATGTTCTTAAAACAAATGGAACATTTCATTGGATTTTCTCATTTTTAAATATAGGTGTCCCTCCCTATACATGTTGTCAGTACTAATTTATAAAATAAATAATAAATAAAATTAATAGCAAATAATATAGTAATCTTTCTATTTATATTTATATATTTAAGTTGTATGAGATCTTGTCTTATACTGAGACCTAAATAAATTAGGTGGATCTAAATATCTCAAACAATTTATTTATTTAGAATTTGTTGGAGAAAAATGAACAGACTGTCAGTAGGTGGGGATCTTTATGCAGTTTACATCCATATAATCATTGTGAGTGCCTTCATTGCTCATTTATTCAAGGATTCCTTCAAAACGCTGATTCATTTAGAAATGAAACAAGGGACTGGCCTTGTGGGTCATTGGATCATTCACTCGACCTAGCCTATTTGTTGAAAAAAACTGCTTCACATTCATTAAGGAAACAAGTGACTTGTGAATTAAAGTGAATTCAGCACTGGACACTACCATACTCATACTATTTCTACAATGTTTTATATTGCAGGAATTGTAATAGCCACTGTCTTTGTGAGGGAATCACTGAATTATTCACTGAACTAATTCGGTCATAAATTAATTTGTTCAAATGAATAAATAGCTATTTCTAAATAAAAATGTAAATTGCATTTTCCCCAGTGACAAGGCCTAATATCTAGCCAACATTAAAATGTTTTATTTCAACGAAACTTAAAGTGCTCAAATAGAAACATGCACCCTGATACTGACACCAAAACGATGTGACATACAAAGCACTGACTGACAGGACAATTGACAGAACACACATGACATCGTTTAGCTGTGTGTGAATATGTCAGCATATAGTGTAACTCAATCCTGAAAGCCCCACCGGGGGTTTCAAGTGGTCATTTTTGACCATGGCTATAGTTGTCACTTGCTGTAGTTTCATACATACATAGGCCTATGTATGAATATGGGTGACACCTGATTCATATGAAAGAACATAAGCTGCAGGCAAGCAATGCAAACCTCTACATACTTTACTTTTTTTTTGTCTGTCACAGAACACAAAATTCCAATTATAAATATATTTATATATAACATATAAATATCAGAGCAGAACACTGACATTCATGCATTTGACAGACAATTGTAGGCCTATGCAAAGTAACTTTGTGCCGTTGTGCAAATTCAACAAAAGTGATTTTTTTTCCATTAAAAAGGCCTCTTTAATGAAAAAAGCATATGCACAATTTTGAAGAAATTAAAGAGACTTTTTTAATGATAGATAGATAGATAGATAGATAGATAGAGATAAAACATGAAAATAAAACAGAAGTTATTATTTTTGGTCGCACAGCTGGTAGCCAGATGGTAAATGATAACTTGGGCCCATGGAAGGTGTACCTGCAGGATCAAGTAAAGAACTTGGGAGTCATTTTTGACTCATCTCTCATATTTGATCGACAAATAAAGACGGTGGTTCGTAATTGCTTCTTCTATCTAAGGGCAATAGCCAAATTGAAACAAATTCTTCCAGCCAGGGACCTGGAAAAAGTTGTCCATGCCTATATTTTTTCCCGTCTAGACTATTGTAGTGCTCTTTATGTTGGGACTTGTCATAAACATGTTGCTCGCTTGCAGTTAGTACAAAATGCTGCTGCAAGGTTGTTAATGAATGCTAGGAAATCAGATCATGTTACTCCCTTATTGTCTTTTTTAGGATGGTTACCAGTACAATTTAGGATACAATATAAGATTTTGATATATGTTTTTAAAGCTCTTCATGGAATGGCGCCAGAATATCTAGTTGAGCTTATTAAGCCCCACAGTCCAAGTGTAATACTAAGATCATCAAATAAGTTTCTTTTAACTCTCCCTCGTGCACGTCTCAAATTGAAGGGTGATCGTGCTTTCTCCGTCGCTGGTCCAAGACTGTGGAACAATCTGCCACTTGATGTTAGATCTTCCTTAACTTTAAATGTTTTTAAGGATCGTTTGAGATCATATTTGTACTCCCTGGCATTTTAGTATATGGATGTTTTTATGTTATTGTCTTGTGTTGTTGTTTCTTTTGCTTTCCATTGTAATGTACAGCACCTTGGAACTACTGTGTAGCCTGTAAGGTGCTATATAAATAAATAAACAAAAAAACAATAGATAGATAGATGTACTAAGAAAGAAACATCAATGTTTAGAGGTGAGGTTGTACCACATGGACCAGGAAAGGGTGCAGTTTTTCCCTGCTCTCAGCACTTCCCAGCACTGCAGCGCAGTGTCACTTCTGCCACTGATATGCTGCAGTGAAGGCAAATCCTACACTTACCCTGCTTCATTTCATTCTTTCATCTGCAATGAGAGTATGAAAAGTCCCAGATTTCATTACCTTGCATGGCAAGTCACTTCTACATTTCCCTTTAGTGATTTTTAGTGATACTGATGTCTTTTCACCTTGGTCTCATTTTTGGCTTTGCTGATTCAAGGTGGCAGTTTTTTTCAGAGGTAACTGGAGACATATGGACATATATACTAACATGGTTATAAGGAAGCTGTCATATCTCATTGATTATATCAGTAATGACCAGCTGACTATTAGACTAACCCGTTTGCTCATCGAATAAATAAACATAGCCTGTAGCCTAATACTGATTTAAAGCAACTGTATAGTTTTGTGTATTTTTGCGATTTTGGAGACGGAATTTCGTGGGACAAAACAGAAACCATTCTCCTTTTTAGAAGTCAGTGGTACCATCAGAATGACTTTAAAAATGATTTTGATATTTCAAGGTAAAAAAAAAAACTTGCATACAGCTAGGGTGAGCATACATCCTCTTTTTCCCAGAGATATCCTTGTCGGGATTTCTAAATTGCCTAAAATGCCCTGCACTCAAAATGTCAGCATCTGCGTTCTCTTTCTCTGAAGCACACAGCATAATATTTAAAGTGGCTCAATTAATCTTCGCTGAAAGCGTTAAACAATGCCGTAGCATATTATTGTCTTCCACCGTATATGGTAATACTGGTAAACATGATCTTTGCGCAGTTTTGCTGACAGAAGGATTTCAGAGTTGTTTTAGGGTTAGGTTCCCCAAAAAGGGGGCCAAATTGTAAATGGCATGACATTTTAATAAATTACTCATCTGTGCAATAATGTCACTGAAGGAAAGCAACCTCCTCATGGTCCACTAGATAAGTGGCTTGGATCTCTGTTAACCTTAAGTGTAATTTTACACCTATACTTGCTGTGCTGTGTATTGGAACTGCATGAAAGAACACTACATCTCAGCAAGAATTGTTCAACATCAGAGTTTCTCCTGGCCCTCTGGGAGCTGGGATCCTTTTCGTCCTCCCCTGCAATAAATAAAATCTTAAATGGAACAGTGTTTTGGATGAAGACACATTATTTAGACACAGTGTGCATCTATACTGGGTTATGTTCTTGATATTAATAATCAAACACATTTCTCTCGCACTCAAGAAATGCTCAAGTATTTTGTAGTCAGATGATATTATCATTCCATATTCAGTCACAATTAGTTAATAGTTAGAGATAATAATGGTTTCAAGACTTTAAACATCAGTGACCACAGACAAAACAGGAGTCTGTCTTCTTTCCAAAAAGCATGGTGTTTCTATGGTTACTTCTGACTACTCAAAGCAGTCCAGGGACTGTTCTGTTGCTCCTCCCCTCTCTGTGCGGCCCATTAAATAAGCTCAGTCCATGATTTCATGAAACTCAGACCACCAACACTGAGCCCACCTGCATCAGTCAAGACACTTGCAGTGTCCACTAGTCCGCCTGGATTTCATCTTAATAAAAATGCCTTTTTAGGTTTTGAAAGGACAGTTATATATAGGTATAGCCATGGATTAAACATAAGCATATGTTGTTGATCATACAGATGGGAATGGGTTTGTGACTGTGGGATGGAAATGGAGAGTTAATAATCCTAGTATGAAATGCTAGCAACAATATATTTGATATTATGCTTTTTTTTTCTTTTCTATGTGTATGTATTGTTATTCCAATGTTATGACCACAGAACAGAGATGTTGAGAAGGCAATAGCGTTCATTTCTTTAGCGATTTCTAGTAGCAAAGCTCATGACTGCCTCCTGGTGCGCAATTTCAACACTGACTTGTTGACTGCAAATCTCAATCTATACTACCTTACAAAGGGCTGGGGTCAGTAAGATAGATGAATGGATAGACAGATAGTTATAGACAGAAATTTGTATTTTTCTGTAACACCAAATCAATATATTAGAATGATGTCTGAAGGGTCATATGACACAGAAGACAGGAGTAATGGCTGCTGAAAATTCAGCTTTGTCATTTTAAATTGTAATATTTCACAATATGACTGTTTTTACTATATTTTTAATATATGCAGCCTCAGTGATGCAGCCTCTTATTGACCCCAAACTTTTGAACCGTAGTGTATGTCCAAACAGACTTGGCCCCAAATACTTATTTTTCAAAAACAGTTGCCATGTTCTCACTTCAAGACAGCCTTAAAGGGTAAAATAAAAATTATTATTTGCTGAATATGTATTTAAATCTCAATGGGCTTACCTCATAAATCAGACAATAAAAAAAAATAATTACCTTTCTTGTAGTTTTATTCCCAAAAGGACCAAAAACATTCTTTCCTACTAAAAGAATTCATCAACCAGATCTTAAAAATGATTTAAATATCTTTACTTTGGCCAATTAAATTTGGTTCATCATTTTGGGTAATTACAAACATTGTTTGCTTTAGATGGAAGTCAAAATGAACATGTTACTTTCAGACGGACAGTCTTTCTGAAGCACCACTGGTTGCAAATATTTCAGAACATTAAAAAAAATTATCTTTATATGGCTACATTTTTTTTTTTTTGTAAATGAATGCTGCAAGCGCAACATATGCTTGGAATGTGAAACTAGACATAATTGGGTTTAAACTCTACTCTATTTTGTAGAAAGAAAATGTATTCATATCATCTCCAAGAAAATTTGAGTGGCTAATTGGTCTAAGCATTAATGTCAAGCACTGATGTTTTTCCTTCCTATATTGCATATTGCAGAAACTTACAGTTTACAGTAAGGCAAGGCACTTGATTATGCTTTAGAACCCTCTAACCACTCTGCAAAACACTGTTAAAATTAATGTTTATAAGGTTCTAAAAAATTAATTAAAATGGAAGAAAATAGTATGATACTATTTAATAAATACAATTATTAGTTTTCCATTTGCATAAATATCAAACATTCTTTTTAAAAATCCAACAGGCAAAACCACAGTGAACAATTCACTGAATGCTGAATGACACCGGAATAATCATTTGACTTCCTGTGGTCAGATAAATGGATCAAACACTACTAGACATTTCAGAACTGGCTCAGAAAACCCAAATATTGGTATTGAAAAAAAATGCTTTGAGAAGAAAAGGGGTAAATAAAAAAAGAAAAGCAGTAAGCTAGCAGCATTGATTACCATTTAACAGCTGTGTACTTTCCTCTCTACCAGCTAATCATCCAATGCTTCGTTTTTAATTCATTACATATTTAAATCCCTATTTAAAACCATTTCACAGATGGTAAGATCTTCCATGACTTGAAATTTTCTGCAGATATTGAAGGAGAGACGAGAGTGAACCCCTGTGGCACCAGGATGGGCTATCTTTGCTTCTCTTGAACTGGTGCAATGCAATGTCCCATTTTAGCGAAGAGAACAGAGCATTTCTGTATGTGATCATCTTCAAATGATGTCTCAACAGGACACTATCTGAAAAAGAACAAAATGATAAAACATGGTTAAAGAATGCCAACAGGTAAACTGGATAAACACTAGATAAACACTTGAAAATTCAGAAAAGCAACGTAAACTCACATTCTGCTACTCAGTGACCATGTAACAGAACCTGTATTTCTGAAAGTTTTGAGCAACTGGGTGTTGCCATTTTCTGTGCCCTTTGGAATAAGTCTGTGTCCCCAAAGTAACGTGCCCGATACAACAAGCCTTCCTCTGCAAACAAGAGCACAGATGTCTAGGTTTTCAGAATATTATGCAAAATTACACTTGCATTATGTGGACAAAGTCAAATACATGAAACATTGCTTTATACATCCTCTATAAACACGCATTATTACGCAGCTTCATATGCGTCACATACTTTGTTGTTTCTCCTTCCAGCAGTTGTTTCTCAGGTTTGATATATAGTCCTCCTCCACACTTTGTTCAACATTCTTAAGATTCATCCCCGTATATTCTTCTGAGAAGTGGTCGCCCACATAGTAAGGCACCTTCAGAGTGGTAGTGTGTCGCCTGTTTGTGTGGCCCATGGATCTAAGGCAGGTGGAATGTTTAATAACGTCAGAGATATTTATCACTCGCATGACAACCATCATTCTTTAACTAGATAAACATATTTTTGCTTCCACTTCGAACATTTTTCTTTAAGACTGAGATTTAAAGATATGATAACAAACAATATTTTGTTAGCTTAGTGTGACAGCTAACTCAAAACTCACAATGGGATAGAGAAAGTGCTTCATGTGACTATCAAACACACACCGGCATTAAATAATAGTGTATAATACTAATACACCAAGTACTAGTTTTTTAAGATAATGCACATTTTGGTCAATGTTGGTCTTACGGTCTGTGGCTGAGGCTGTATGGAGGACTGGAAACCATCATCTGGCTGAGAGCCGAGACTATGATCAGAATGAGTATTGGCATCAGTTGTACAAACAAGGCAAGGCCACCCTGGATGATAAAAATTAATTCATTAAAATTAAACTGTACACCAATACATAATGAAAGAACTATTGTTATATTTCATCAGCCTGAATACGTCTTTTAAATACATACCATCTGGCTCAAATAATAATGCAATGTAACATATCACAAACAATTTTCATTTGTTCTCTTGACCATAGATGGCACACACAGGGTTTCTGTAAGACTTTTCAAGACCTTTTTAAGATCAAGTAAACAAAATGTAAGGAATAAATTGAATGGAACACAACATGTACAAAAAAAAAAGCTTAAGGCTTGAATAGCTCTGCTCTCAACTACTAGCATATGGAAATAACTTTTACTGTACCTTCTGATCATGCTACAAAAAATTATGTTCCTCATCATTATTTTGTTTTGCTTTCTTAAAAAAGATCTGAAGTCTTGTTTTATGAGAAACTGATAAAAATTAAGTGAGTTTATGATTAAATAAAGAACAAATATCTGCCAATCAACTTAATTCAAGCGGGAAAACAAGTTTTTATACCCCGTTGACAGATGTTTGTTCTTGTTTTAAGCATAAACTCTTAAACACTTAATTTTGTTAAGTTTATCAGAAAATACGCCTTCATATATTCAATTTGCAACTACAGCGTTTGGTTTCCGGGCTTTGTGATATCACAAAGCGGCTCATTAGAATTTCATTACAAATAATTCCGGCCTACAGAAATTCGAATGGTTGGGGGTGGGGAGGGGCGGGGTTGTGGTTAGAACGCTTGGTTGAGTGAGCGCATCAGACGAGACAACGAAGAAGCAGTGCTGCTGCAGTTAGTGCATCAGAGAAAACCAAGAAGAAGAGCTGGGGGGAAGCGAGGACTGGAATTGAGAACAGCTGGTCTAGAACAATTCTTACAAGTACAACACGACGCAGCTGGGCGCCGCGGACAGACGCAGAACGGCGCCTCCGGTGTGCCTACACTCATAGAAAATAATGTGTTTTAATTTTAAAGGCGTGGCGCGACGCTGCGCTTCTCCTCCGGCAAGACTTTGTAAAAGAGCATAATAGGACCCCTTTAAACTACTTTTCTTACATTACCACAAACTTACCATTGACAGAAATAGACAGCTCTACAGCCTTTTCTTTTGCATTGAAATCTTTATTACAAGCAATCCTGCGGTTCATAAAGAGATTTTAATAATATGCATTTATGGTGTAATTACTACATTTTCGTGTCAATCCATGTTCATATTTACTGTGCAAACAATGCGCTGTTACTTTAAATTCAGCGCTTGCAGCTAGAGGTCTGCGCGGGACTGCTTTTTTAGTCCCGCTCCTGCAAGGTTCTATTCCGCACCCGCTATATATTCACTCTTTGTTCACCCGCTGTCCGCTTAGAATAATTTTCTTCCCGACCCGACCATTCCCGCTAAATTTAGATCTCGTTTCCAGAATCTCACATTTAAATTTCCGCTACTTAAAGAAAGAGAGATAGGCTGACAAATAAGTGTATTCTGCACAAAATTGTATGTTATTTTATTCATCTTGTCAAGAGTCTTGAATTTATTGACTTTGACTTGAATTTATATGAATTATCTTAAGACACAAAATTCTCATAAAATTGCTAGAATTTTATGCAACACAGTAGGAAAAAAAAGTGTCAGAGAAAATAAAAAAAATTAAAATGTACAAAAATTGTATTTCTTATTTTTATTCGTCTTGTCAGGATACAATTCGTTTATCATTTACAACACAATAGGAAAACGTGTCGCAGAGAGAAAAAAAATGTAGGTTGTACAAAAATAGCATATTAGCAATTTCATTCGTCTTGTCAAAATACAAAATTCGTTTGACATTTTTCTGTTAACACAGTAGGCTATAAGTGTCGCAGAGAAAAATAAATAAAAACGACATCTGTCATTTAAAATTATAGGCTAAGAAAAATATAAACAAAACCGAGTTGAACGTCCTTCAAGGACAGCGCATCCACACTTTGCTCCATCCTTATTCTGCTCTGTCACTCTTCGACAACCTGCCTGTTCTGTCTGAGGGCCGTATATTTACCACAGGTACAGCCTGCTCTGAGCATCGTTATGCACATGCTGCCCACAGACCCCGCAAATAAAACCCGCGACGTTAAAGCATGCGTGCAGTGATGTGTGGTGATTTGAAGCCATTTGCGTATTTTGAGAGAGAAAGAGAGAGCGCGCGCATGGTGATTCACTCACGCTGCTTGTGAAATTACGTCTCACACAAGGTTTCAAATTATGTTATAAGTTATTTAATGAAAAAATATGAAGGTGAGTACCTTACCTTCAGCCTTATAATTATTTCACCTGCGCCGGACAGAGACTGAGACGGTGCCGCTGAATGTCGTGCCAAACCTCTTACGGTCCTCCTCCACACTTAATAATCTCATCAGCACTTAACTCATCAGCTTGAGATCGTTTTTTTGAGATCGGCCTTTTAGAGACCGCCGATCAATCATCCCAACGTGATTATCGGCCGATAGTGATCGGTAGCCGATCGATCAGAGCACCCCTAAATTGCATCTCAAGTAAAAGTATCTTTTCATCTTAGTAAACAAAACAAAAACACTGAGGCAGATATTCTTTTTTTTTTCTTTTTTGAAGTGCAAACAACATTTAATGACACGACTATATGATTTCAAGACTTCCTGTTACGATTTAAAACCTTTTTAGTCCTTAATATGTGGGAGGGAGAATTAAGACTTTTTAAGACCTGCAGAAACCCTGTGACACAATCTCATAACAAATGTAATAAAGAGCTATGCGCCCTTCTTAATTGTCATTTCACCCGAATATCAAGATTTGTAAGATCTAGTCAGTCGAAACAGTATTGAGGTTAGCTGATCTAATTTGTGTCTCTGGAAAATAGTATCTCTGACATTATGTTATGTTGAATATCAAAGGTTGTTGTAGGGCTGCACGATTAATCGAATGCGATTGTCAACTTGACTTGACTTGACTTCTGTGAGATGATGTGGCTTCTTACACAGAATAAGGCACGCAACATATTTCATAGTATTTAAGCAGTGATAAAGGCATTGCATTATAAATATACTTTATTTTAATGAAAATTATAATAAGAACTCAGATAAACCATATATTGCCGTAGTCGTGTGTTTATTAGTTACGTTGAATCAATGAAAGCAGTTGAATCTTCTGTTTATTCAGCTGCAGCGATAGGCATTTTCTGGGTTTCTTCTGCGAGGCGTATTTGGCGTTTCAGCGCGAGAGCGCCCACCGTGCTTCACTGAAAGATACGCATGACAATCGCAGCTTCTGTCGAATCCCGATCTCGATTCCATTTCGATTTATCGTGCAGCCCTAGGTTGTTGTGTATATTTGTTAATGAGGGACTTGTGGACATATTAATGTTTTTAGATTTGTGGAGTTCAAATATTTTGAAGTGGAAGGCAAAAACTTCTTGTAGAATTTTACATTGTGTGCTATGACAATATTCCCCTTAATAACACACCATCTGATGCCTCATCATTCTGTACATGCTAAACTTAAATGTAAATTATGTTACAATAAATGCACATCTTCCCCCACCTTAGCTTACAAGTAAAACATCTGCACAAAACCCCTTATAATCTTTGAAGATTGGGCTCTTACTTCTCTCTGTTGTTCTCGTCGTTCTTGACGCGGTTGATGGCCAAACCTCATTCTGCCATTGCTGTACACATGCACATTACCTAGAAGCGTAAACAGAAATGTCACGGTTTGGATGTATTCGACCACAACCACTGACATGTTGCAATTCTAAAACCACATTTAAAAAGGTCACAGGACTCACTGGTGGGAAATCCACCTCCAAAGAACATATTGAAAAGTTCCTCAGGGGAAATATCTGCTTCAAAATTTCTGTGATGGGTCCTATGCCTGTGAGTCGGATGGGCTTTTTCTTCACCATAAACATCATACTGCCTTCTTTTTTCAGGGTTACTCAGAACTGCATAAGCATTACCTATAGCTGTTGAAGACCAGGAAACAAAACAAATGAGAAGACCACATGCAAACGCTCTCCATACTGATTGCAGAAAGGCTGAAGTCATGCATTTTACCTTTAAATGCTTCAGTGGCACCAGGCGCATGGTTTTTATCTGGATGAAACTTTAGAGCCAACTTTCGGTAGGCTTTTTTCAGATCCTCCTCAGAGGCTTCTTTACTGACTCCAAGAATCTCATAATAGTCCTTACATCTCTTAATTCTGCATCAAGCGAATGACAGATCACAGTAGAATAGGAAGAAAGTAGTTAGGCGGTGAAACCACTATGCACACATATAAACCAAAATGTTCTTCACAGAAATAATGAAGATGTCCCGGACTTTTAGGCAAGCAGTCTGAAACAAATAACAGACCTTTTGACAGCATCCAGCTGCTCTGATGTGTATGGTTTGGTTGATTCTGTGGCACCATGTCCAGAGGAGTGATCTTCAGTGTTGTGGTTTCGGTTTCGTAATCCATCATATTCTCTAATGTTTTCTTCACTTGTGGAAGGTCCTCCATTCTCAGCAATAGACTCTAGTAAAGCTGAGACAAGAAAACTTTCATTTAAATAAGAAGCACTGGCATCTATCTGTCTCTCTCTCTATCTACCTATCTATCTTAAATCCACCAACCCACTCTATCTAATATCTATCTGTATATTCTAATTATCTATCTATATATTCAACCCACTCTATCTATCTCTCTATAAGTGAAAATAATAAATACTAAATTGTAATTAAGGTTATATTACGTACGATTACATTACTTACGTTACATATGTAAATACTATATAAACATCTAGTAGAAGTTATATATAACCAAGAATTGTAACTATATGGCTCGACAACATACAGTTAGATCAATTAAAAGTAGAAAATACTGTTATTTCACAGGCATAATAAAAGATCGAGATCCCAAGGCCTTAATTACCGTCTAACTACAGACTCCAGCTTTTCCGGTGGCCTTTTAACAGACCTCTTACGATCTCCGCTATACATGTATTTACATTACACGCACATCTCGCCTTGTCGGTGGGAAACAGTCTCTGTGCCTTCTCGAGGAACCGTCTGGCTTTGTCGGGCTCATTATCTCGCAGCGCTGCGATGGCTATTTCGATGCAGCGCTCCGCTTCGTCCTTGTTTGATTCCATTGCGACGGCGGAACTGATGACTGATCTCTTTGCTGACCCCATAGACGCAGCCTGATGACGTTTACGACAACGTCAAGAGTTTTTCACTAGTCAGCAGAACATCCGCTTTCCAGAGATGAATAGACAGCAAATTGACATTAAAAAAAATGTTAAAAAACGGTCAAATATGCAAATCAAACTGACGTCAAAAACTTGCCATGAAGTTGATTTGATTTAAATTGAATGTCAAACATATTGGCCTACATATAAATTAAACCAATTTCAATGTGGGATTCACTTCCTATTGCCGTCAAACTGAATTTAAAATTATGTTACTGCATCTTGATCAAATCTTGACTAATATTTGACGTCAAATTGATATCAAGGTACCCGCCGGGTTTGTAACTTACTTGCTGAGGTTTCCCATACTGTAAAATCTCTTAAACTCATAAATAATGATAAAAATAACACATTTATACGATCTTATATTTCTGACTGATTGTCCTTTGTTTATCTGTTTGTATTTTCCCATCCCTTTTTAAGTTATGTTCTTTGTATTTCAATAGAGTTCTATAACTTACTAAAATAAAAATGTGACAGATTCCTGAAGCAATATAAGAAATGTTTTGAGACTGATAAGGTTTGATCTATATATTTTAAACGTTTTTTTTTTATTTAATCTATGTTTAATCACGTTTATTTACAACTGTTTATGTTATGTTTACTTTATTGATAAATTTGTTTATTCTGCTTATCGATGTGTTTGTTCTCCTGAGGTGTTTGTACAATATAATTTATAATTTAATTTCTTTAATATATTTTCTTTGATAATAATAATAATAATGTAAAAATAATTCTGAAACAAATAGTAATAATAATAATATCCCTTTGTACTTCCGGAAACTTGCTGCGGTCTGAAAGCAGAGTGGGCGCACTAGTAAAGGAAGTAACAATCATGGCAAACAAACAAATAGAATCGGAAATCATGATTACATATACAGTATAAAACAGATAGGAATAATTTCTCGTTTAAATGGGTACCAGCACATGTGGGAATTCAATGAGGAGGTAGACAAAATGGCCAAAGAATCCTTATCAAAGATGGATGAACCAAGTATAAATATTGCACTTAGCAGGGCAGAAGGGAAAATTTTGATATTAAAAGCATGCAACATGAAATGGCAGGTATATTGTCAAACAGGTCGGCATTATCACAAAGTACAAAGGAGCATAAAGAGAAGTAAAATCTTTCATAATATTAGTAGTAGGGACAAGTCATTTTGACACATATTCGAACAGGACATTCAAATCTTAACCAAACATTACACATTTCAGTGAAACATAATACTGGTTTATGTGACGTTTGTTTAATAGTACCAACAGTGGAACACGTTTTGATGATATGTACTGAAATGCAAGGGAAAGGGAACGACTTAAAGTTGAATTGCAATCCTTAGGAATGAAATAATTCATATTAAGTAACATATTAAATGATGGTCCAAATGCAGGAAAACAATCTTAAGATTTATTAGGAATTGTGGATTAACGGACAGAATAAGGGAATCACGTATGAAACGATAAACGAATCATTCTCTTCACACTCCATCACAGTAGGTGGCGGTATGCTCCTATAAAGTTGGTTGGCAACCCGTCATAAATCCAGAAGAAGAAGAACAGTAACGTCATTAGTGCGTCGTATCAAGTTGTTAGACAGGACATTTTATCAGACATTTTATAAAGTTTGTTCAGAATGCAAACACAAACAGTTATCTCTTTTGTATGGATACCTGCACATATAGGAATAGAAGGAAATTAACTGGTGGATCAAATAGCAAAGAAAAAAAAATATATATATATTAAAACATCCAGACATAGAGTTTAATGTTCCGATGTATAAATTAGAAATAAAAGGGCTAATTAAAAAAGCATTAAAAGATATGTGGCAAAGTAAATGGGATGGTGATAATAAAGGACGACAATTATATAATATTCAAAAAATAGTTGGAAATGAGAGGAGAATTTTTGGGAATAGAAAGGAAGATAGCATAATATCTCGTATTAGAATTGGACACACTGCACTTAATCAATCATTATATATAATAGGAAAACATGAATCTGGACTTTGTGTTAAATGTGATCTTCCTGAAACAGTTGAACATATTTTAGTAAAATGTAAAGGATATGAGAATGAAAGATTACAACTTACAGAAGCACTTCATATAGGAATTAACCAGATCTCACTTCAGAAATTGTTAAATAAAGATGCAACTATAGACATGTTTCACATATACTATTTAAGTATCTCAAAGACACATAATTAATGAATAGAATTTAAAGAATTATATATATATATATATATATATATATATAACCGATTAATCGGTTCCTGACGTCATCAAGCAATAACGCCTCTACGCATTTCTTTTCTAGCAACTCAATGCAATGTTATATCAATGAAAAATTCAAACACTTTATTTCTAATTTATTTCATGAATTTAACTTTATTAATTTTCACAATTATTTATTCATGTCACACACACCTACCTAGTGCCTTTTGACTTAAATAAAAGACGAGAGTGGTACATGTTACGGACATATTATCATGGAACTGTTCAGTCTATTATTGATTTTTATTTCCACTTCACTTTTATCCAAAGAGACGGAACTATTTGCACTGTATTTATCAATGGGACAATATTCATACAATACTAATAGGCTACCTAGAAATAATCTGTCAGCATACTGTAACTCGCATTAAAGGGGTCACTTGTGCAGCAGCACGAATTATGTGCCCAGCAAAATCTGATTAAAATATTATGCGTAATTAACAGTGAGTGGTGGTTTCAGACATTATAGTGCCGCCCTCGTACTGACTCTTATTCTGCCTGAAAGAATGAAAAGGCCGTACTGAAGGCGGAGCAATTCGACCAATCAGATGAAAGGAGCGTTTCAGCACCGCCCACACGTGCGAATGAAATATTGAAGCCATAAACCGATTTTTAAACCCCAAACGAAAAATGAGAAATCGAGCCAAAATCTCATTTTCCGTTTGTTAAACTAAACGGAAAAACGAATAAACGAGCCGTTTTTCCATTTCTTGTTATTGCATTCCAAATAGAAGATGAAATGATCAAAACGTACACGGACCGACCGAAAGAGCATTTCTGTTGGAAGAATTAAAAGAAATGGGGATAGAAAATATTACACTTAAAACTTTGTTGAATAATGGCTTGAATCATTATAAAATATATAATGCTTTAATGACATTCTTAAAAAAAGTAGATCTGTTTAACAGGATTTAGAAGGGTTTAATTTTTTATTACAATTTTTTCTATTATTATTATATAATTTTTTTATTTTATTATTATTTAGTTCTTCCTATTCCATCAATGGTCTACACTCCAGCCCAGTAGGTGGCGGGAATGCACCTATCGTTTGTTTGCCAACCACCATAAAACTCCAAAAGAAGAAGAAGAAACTTCGCCACGGCTCATTCGGTTCTTGTTTAGTCCTCGGTAATCCTCGGCAAACTTCGACAGTTGGTTGAACCGGCTCAATCGGTTCTTTTTGAGTTGGACGTGGTACTTCGGGCTGTGCGTCCTGCGTCCCGGAACTAAAGTTTTCGATTCAGTTCGATTTGTGAACCGGCTCGACCGGTTACTTACTGAGAACCGGCTCAAAATAACGATTCGTTCAAGAACCTAACATCACTAGTATCAAGTTGTTTGTGTGGGCACATGGAAAAGAGGTACAACGAACAAAATATGTGTTTTACTGGATTGTTGACAGTTTACACGTTTATGTTGTGAGGCAAAAATATATCTAGAGCACTGACGCGATAAACATAATTTTACTGTAGTGTGTTTGAGTGTGTGACCTCAAGCGCTCACTGAATAGTCTGCACCAATGTCGCATGCCTACAAAACAATGCGCTTACAGTTAACATGGCCACTGTTGAAACAAATCATCATTATACCAAAAACATGCTTCAGTTATTCAATAACCAGCCGCTGTGCTGTCAATACTGGCTGTAAGCTTGTAAAGAGAAGAAAGGAAAGGAAACCCAGACTACCTGCTGACTGGCATACTCTCTCCTGGGAAGAGAGACTGGCTGACAATGTGACTCCTCTGTGGAGAATGAGTTATGAGGAGCAGCTCCAGTGGAAACAAGAGCAGCAGAACAACATCTTACTTGAGATGACAAAGCAACTAGCTCAGGACTCAATGCACCCTTTCTCAAATTACTTAAGTTTCCCCCTCCTTCCATAGTAGCCTCACCATTGAGTGATGGATACCACAATAAATCAACCTTCTCTGTCAACAGAGGGGTAGTTGGGAATCCAAAAACTGCTGGATTTTATATCAGCAATGGAAAAACTGACAACATTGACTGTGTCCACGGTGACCATCTCCTGAACATGTCTTCAAAACACAAGATGGTTGCAAGGCACTATGAAGATTTTATTCACCTCTCACCACTCAAACCATGCCGTTTATTTCACGATGGTGGTCACTGGAGAGAAATCACGATAAGAACAAATTCTGCCGGTCACACGATGCCCATAGTTTACTTTCATCCTCAAACCCTAACACCTGAGGAGATAGGCGTCCATAAAGCTGCTCTGGTGGAGTACTTCACACAAGGTCCCGGAGCAGTTTGTCAGCTGGATTCTCTGTACTTCCAGGAGACCACAATGACCCGTTGCAGTCATGAACAATCACCCTATCAGCTTCTGCATGGACAGTCTCATATCTTTGAGGAGGTGCTTGGCTTTGGGGAAATGGTTAGAGAGTCTCGTACCAGCAGGGATTGTAGGTGGGGGGAGCGAATATACAGCGCTCTCTCCCACCTTCAGTACCACGACTGAGGTGCCCTTGAGCAAGGCACCGAACCCCCAACTGCTCCCCGAGCGCCACAGCAAAAATGGCTGCCGACTGCTCCGGGTGGGTGTTCACGGTGTGTGTGTGTTCACTGCTGTGTGTGTGCACTTTGGATGGGATAAATGCAGAGCACTAATTCCAAGTACGGGTCACCATACTTGGCCACATGTCACGTCACTTTCACTTAAGTTCCGCATTTCTGCTGATTCTTTCTTCCAGGTGAATCGGGGAGCAGCGGAAACTTTGTACAAGACTCTTGCAGAGCTGAATCGGGCCTGTGTTGGAGGGACCCTACTGGACGTCTGCTGTGGTACTGGAGCCATTGGCATTTCGTTATCGCCACAGATGGAGAGAGTCATTGGCATCGAGCTCATTGAGCAGGCGGTCGAGGATGCCAAGTTTAATGCAGCACTAAACAGAGTTCATATTTCAATTTCTCTCAGGCAAAGCAGAAGTTGTTCTACCAAATCTGATGGCCACTTTGAATTGTGACGGTGGGCTGACAGCTGGGGTGAATCCGTCCAGGGCTGGCCTATATTATCGAGTTGTCAAGATCCTTGAGGAACCACCCAGCCATAAGAAGGCTTGTCTATATATCATGCAAACCTGATGGGGAGGCAATGAGGAACTTTAGAGGCCTGTGCTGTAGTTCAGACTATAAGACACCAACTATGGCTGTCCCTGTAGACCTGTTTCCACACACTCCTCACTGTGAACTAGTGCTTGTGTTTGAGCGATAGTGCCTGTTTTTGTGAAAGTAGTTGTTTTGGAATTCATTCCGATAAATTACTTTTTATTTATGCCATTAAATGTCAATGGAAAATTGTCAATGCAGTTTCTCTATATAGGCTATTTATTATAGTTAACTAAAACTAAAACCATAAAATATATTTTTGCTACTTGGGAAAAAAAAAAAAAAGGTAATTGAAATTATACATTAATCTGCAAAAGTCTTAGGCCATTAGTATTTTCACCACCAACAACAACAACAACAAAAAATGGTTTTAAGCCTGTTATTTCTATCCTTTGCTGTAGTGTGTCAGTAGGAAATACAAGTTTACATTTCCAAACATTCATTTTGCCATTAATTGTAATAATCCAGTGAGATGTTTGTGTGCACAAGGAGGCTGACACTGACTTTTGCACAGTAGTGTGTATGTATATATTAGACATTTAAAAATAATAAAATAACAAACTACTGTACTGTATATCGATATAAATTGTTACTTGCTGTTTCTTTGTAATTAATTGTGAAATTTACTAGCAATTTCTGGGTGAAATTTGTTTTTACTCTATTATTTTCAGTGCATATAGTAAAAACTTAAAACAGATAATAACTATAATAGCATTTCAATGATACTAAAATAACACAATTAGTAATGGCTTATATTGTAATATATTGATTCTAGCAGATCCCTTACATTATCACTAGAGGGTGCTATTGCGTCATCCCTCCATTTTGTGCAGTGCTGCATAGATGTGGTGCACTGTTAGATATGTCATACTTTCATAACCAACTTGATCAGAAAAGACAGTGTATTTATGTATACTTACAGGATTTGTTAAGTCTGATGTTAAGTATGATCAAGTTGTGAAAATAGGACAGATTCCTTAAGCATTAACCGCAAGTTCACATTTGAAAATATCAATGCAACAGAATAAACATATCTTGATGAGCACAACTATCATTTTTACCTTCATGTGTTATGCTCTTTCTGTTTAAGTCTGGACACAGATCCACCATCATGGGCTTCAGTATGACAGTTATGTCTGCCTGAGAAAGGCTGATGATTTGGATGAAGCAAGCTTACTACAAATCACCTACTGAACTAGGCAAAAACTGTATAGTAAGTGCACAAATTGAGCAAACATAAAGTAAATGCTTTTTGACCAGAGTCAAAAGACTGAGCCATTTTGTGTAATATGAAACAGTTACATGAGTCCAAAATACAATACCATTCAATTACTGTAATGTACTTACATTGAAATTGGAGATGAGATCTGGCTATGGGAAATTATAGCAGCCCACAGAAACTTCCCTGTTTGAGGAACTACAGATTTGTTGTCATTTTAGCACTTAAGGATCCCTATTTCCTCTTTGTAACACATGTAGCTCTTCAGAAAATCTTGTTCACCAGTAGACCTATACTGCTTTTTTAGACTGGGCTAGTAACAAAAAAAATTCTTTTAAAATACTGAAAGGTTTGCATTTGTATTTATAGCATTGTAAGACATACAGTAACTACATTCACAGATGATATTTATAAACTTGTGTGCATTCACATTAATTCAATAGATTCTACAGATTAACATTATTTTTATGTGTCTGGTTAGTGGTTATACAAACAGTGTTTTCGCATAATAGCACACATTGACTTGAGAAATATGTTTGGGCTAGAAGGACAAAGACCTGCATTTTCTAATTTACTCATGGATATTAATTGTATCACACGCTGAGAGTAAACAGCTGAAGTGTTGGCTATCAAAGACCAGCGTACATGGCGTCCATAACATAAGCATCAGATAACCAGGCAACCAATGAAACTGGTAGGGCTAGATGGCATCCTTTCAGCCTCGCCCAATTGCATCATTTTCAACTAAATCAGAGGCTTAGACACGCAAAAAAATAAAAAAAATTAAACCACTTGACTGGGGATCCTGCCTGCTAGCATCAAATCAAATTGCGATAATTCTTTATGGTTGCATCGCAAACAAGGTAAGCGCGTTGCAGATGCGCGAATGCGGCTTTATTCCAGCTTGCCTTTATTGAGACAGAAGTCACACCCATTTTGTGCACAATTTAATGTAGGCCTATTCATTGCATGAGCGCTTTGTCTTTTAAAATAATGATAACTGAAATGACAAATGGCTTTTCTTTGTTGATGGTCGTGAACATATAATCGACTCGTTCTCTTTACAGGAGTCAATAACGAGCATGAAAGAAATGGCCGAAACGACGACAACAGAGGATGTTTATGACGATGCATACGAGGAGAAACCGGGCCCGAGACCTCCAGTGCAAATCGTGTGGAGAAACGTTATATTAATGTCCCTATTGCACCTAGGAGCTCTTTATGGTCTGACGATTCTTCCATCTGTCTCTTCCTTAACGCTGATATGGAGTGAGTATGTTACTGCTAAGTGATTCTATGAACTGACTGACGTTTGTTTTAATCGCAACCTGTTCATGTGTTTATTGCGTTTTTATTTTTATGGCCTAATATTTATGTATAAAGAGACTGGACAATGTTGTAATGTCTGCAATTACGTGTTTTGTACTGTGCGTCTCGGGCCTAGATATAATATTTTAATCATGTTAATTAAGACAAATGTAGGCTATAATTTTAATAAAATATAAAGTTAATTTCACGTTTATGTTCACTGAAAGTCTATTTTGTGTAATTTGCATGTGTCTATTAGAAATACATTGGAAATCGATGAATTAGTGTGGATTTTATATATATCAAATTAAACCGGAAATCCTGCTGCTTTGTATTATATCAGTTCTGTTTTTTTACATCCATTCACCTGATTATGAATCAAACTATAAATCAGACATGGCATTTAACTTTCTTAGCTCAAAATAGTTTTTTTCCCCCCTCATGTAAATCTTTCATATTTTTTATTCTGCCTTGCAACGTTTGCTGTCAGAAGGTATATGTGTGGTGGTGGTCATGTATGTTTTAACCCCTATCGCTCATGTATAATTGGTTAAACTCAGCAACACTCTGCAGTTTCCCTTTATTGTTTTGCAGGCATTTCCTCTTATAAGGGTGTTGATGTTCTTCTCTTACAGATTCAAAGTTGTGATTACTATTCTCAGATATGATCAATTATTGTGTCATTTTTTTTCCAAAAGCGAAAATCTTCTGTCTCAGCTAAATTAGTTATGTAGACCAGTGTTTAAAGTGTCTTGTAAGCATGCGTGTGTGCATGAGTGACAACAAGACAGTCCCGTGAATAATTTGAAATCCTACCAAAAGCTATAACTGCTCCACTGTTGTGTACATTTTTGGCATCACATCGCCGCAAAATATTGCACCCTGGCGAACAAAGAACAATTGCTGTCGAAATAGGCTCTCCATTGTAAATTGAGCCGGATCATAACAGTGTGCCTTTCTTCACAGTCTGTGGCCTGGTATCCCACATCCCTTGCAGCCTTGTCTGACAACACACAGCGAGACATTTTGTCCTCTCATAGAGCGAATCAAGGGCGCATACACCATTACACACTATGTGTGTAGTTCAGACTAATTTGTTTTTAAATATTCTGTTCTGTTTTCTCTCTTAATGTGACAGCTGGAGTGTGTTTCATGGTAAGCGCTTTAGGAATAACCGCCGGCGCCCATCGCCTTTGGAGCCACAGGTCCTACAAAGCCTCGTTACCATTACGAATCTTCCTAGCGACTGCAAACTCTATGGCTTTTCAGGTAAAACATTTTTAAGTGGATGAAACAATCTTTCACATTAAATAATGCAGTAAACATAATGCAGCTCAGATGGCATAGTGTTTACAGATCTGGGCTAATAGGTTCAAACCTCACAAGAGCCAAGTGATCGCCATTGTACACTTGAACAAAGCAATTAACCCCGGGACATCCACCTAGGATTGTCCCTGTAATAAGTGTACTGTAAGATACTTTGCAAAAAAGCATCTGCCAAATGACTACTTACACTTGATATATATATATATATATATATATGTATGTACGTGTGTGTGTGTGTGTGTACACACTGTATATTGTACTGTACAAAATGAATATTATATTGCAGTTTCACATTCACCTTTCACTCACTTGTACTCGATGTTGAGTATGGCAGATATACTATGCAATGGCAATAATGATTAATATATATATCCATTTAGAATGATATCTATGAGTGGGCCAGAGACCATCGTGTCCATCACAAGTTTTCTGAGACTGATGCGGACCCACACAATGCCCACAGAGGTTTCTTCTTCGCTCACATCGGCTGGCTGCTGGTCCGCAAACACCCAGAAGTTATTGAAAAAGGACGCAAACTGGAGCTCGCTGACCTAAAAGCAGATGGGGTCGTAATGTTTCAGAGGAGGTCAGTGGGAAATTGTGATATTTCATATTCAGTTTTATAAATCTTCTCACCTACACTACCATATAAATGTTTGGGGTATGTAAGATTTTATTTTTTTTAATTAATACTTTTATTCAGCAAGGATGCATTAAATTGATCGAAAGTGACAGAAAAAACATTAATATTGCTACAAAATATTCCAATTTTAAAATTTATGTTCTTTTAAACTTTCTATTCATCAAAGAATCCTGAAAAAAATTAAGCAGCACAGCTGTTTTCAATATTTATAATAATAATAAATGTTTCTTGAGCGCCAAATCAGAATATTAGAATGATTTCTGAAGGATCACGTGACCCTGAAGACTGGAGTAATGGCTGCTGAAAATTCAGTGTTGCCATCACAGGAATACATGACAATAAAAAAATAATATTTCAATAGAAAACAGTTAATTTAAATTGTAATACTATTCAAAAATATTTGTTTTTGTTGTATTTTTTCCCTCTGTATAACAGTGGATAATAATTTATAACAGAATATAATTTAAAGGCACAATATGTAATTTTCGCCGCTAGAGGGCGCGTATTCAAAATAAACAAAGAGACAAAGGCGTAGTTTGATGATGCTGTGACTGAGTGTAGAATCATGGGAGTTGTCGTCTTCATCCCCACAGCCAATGCAATCCGACGAGACTCGGGCAGAAATCATGTTCATGGATGAGCTAATGATTTATTAACGTAGTAGAATGAAGCAGGGGGAGGCTGAAAGCCGTTGAAGCGAAACGAGGCCGCTTACAGAACGTGACACACGGCTCGAAAGCAGCGGAGCTTTTATTATGCCACAGTCGACCGCTTCCGCTCCTTCCGGTCGTGAGTATGTGGGGTAAAGCAACGCTGTTTTATCATGCTAGATACTTTTGAACGTTCTGTCTCTGTGCGGTCGTCACCTGTCTAATAAAACGCATAACATATTAAAGCGTCTTTGGTGTTTCCATGTTTTCTACAAAACAAAACTGTAAATCGAGGGGTTATGAACTCATTGGCAGGCGACACAATGACACTATGGACACGGTCCGTGTCACTAGTTAAAATTGCTTATTTCTCTGGATTTAAACATTCATCGAAACATTTGGGATAATGCAAGTACACAAGTCAGCAAAATATATAACACTGTTCTAGTAGTTTTTGGATATTTTAATAAAAAAATCTTACATAGTGTGCCTTTAATGTTGCTTTATATTGGCTTTTAAAAGTCTTCTGTTTTGATTTATATATTTGGATGTACTCAAAACTGATATTCGAAACTTTATACAATTGTGCTGAATAATTTAATGAGAATTCACTGGATGAAAACCTGCGAAGTACAAAACGGGACAAACTTTGATCCAAGTTTAGTCATTTCTTATGACTTGAAAAGGCTGTATTAGTTAACATATTCATTATGCCTCTGTGACCCCGCAATTATGAGCCGTCATCTGAACCAGGTCCCATATTTGGCACTAGGTAGTGTGGAATAATCAATATCCCTTCCCATCACTTTTAATGACATCCAACAAAAGTCCGGAGCTTTTTGATAAGAGTTTAAGAACATGTTTCATAGAATTGCTAGATAAGATAGTGGGAGAATAACTGGTTAGTCAGCATTTCACTGCATGTTGTGTTCCAGCTGAGGTTTAACAGCTGATGTTATTTCAGGAAATCTATGACATTCATAAGAAGAACATGTCACAATCATGTAGAGCAGTGATAAAATGACTATAGAAATTGTTGTTTTTGATCTTTCATTTCTATGTCCTTAGGCATTACAAGTTATCTGTGGTGGTGATGTGCTTTCTCATCCCCACGTTTGTACCTTGGTTCTTTTGGGAAGAGAGTCTTTTGACCAGTTACTTAGTTCCTTGTCTGTTGAGATATACTGTGGTCCTTAATGCGACCTGGCTGGTCAACAGTGCAGCTCACATGTGGGGAATGAGGCCCTATGACCACAACATCAATCCCAGAGAGAACAAGTTTGTTGCCTTCAGTGCCATCGGTAAGAACAGTCTTTTCTTTTCCAGCTTAATATTAATTAATTAATTCAACTTTGTTGAAAAATGTTTAAATCATCAGGATTATTGATCAATAGAAAGAAGAACAAAATTAATTTGAAATAAACATTTTATATGTACTGATTGGAAAATATATACTTCATTTAATTTCAGGTGAAGGATTTCACAACTATCATCACACATTCCCCCATGATTATGCTACAAGCGAGTTTGGCAGTCGGCTGAACGTGACCAAAGCATTTATAGATCTCATGTGCTTCTTTGGACTGGCCAAGAATTGCAGGAGGGTAACTCGTGAGACCATCATGGCCCGTGTTAAACGCTCCGGTGATGGCAGCCACAAAAGTGGTTGATTTGTTCAGTACATATCAGAAAACAAACAAACAAACAAAAAAAGTTATAAGCCAACATATACAAAAGCATTTGCAGCATTTCTTATTGTGCAATGAAGATTGATCTATATATATTCTCATTTGAAATAAGAAACTCTAGAGTGTGTTGGACTAATATGTGTTCTTAAGAATTCTTTCCTTTTCATGAAGTGTACTGGACTGTGGAATATTATTTTCGGAGATAGTAAAGGCCATAGTTTGGAAGGATAATTATGTCTCAGTCTGCCTCAAGAGGCAAGAGATGGTACTTCACTAGTTAAACAGCTATGTGCCTCATTACAGCCCTCTCTCATGAATAGGTTGACCCATGTTTTCTCTCGCTAAGCAGTTACTGTTCTGATTTAAAAATATCATTCCAGCGAGCTATGCAAGCTGTAAAATTAAGATGACATACTATTAATATGCTGGCACTATTTTACATTTTCTGAAATGATAAAAGCTGATTTCCATCTAAAACTGAAATAACTTTAATGACCACCAAAAGATTTATAGGTCAGTATATGTAGTCAAATATGTGACCCTGGACCACAAAACCTGTCTTAAGTCGCTGGGGTGAGGGTAACTCGTGAGACCATCATGGCCCGTGTTAAACGCTCCGGTGATGGCAGCCACAAAAGTGGTTGATTTGTTCAGTACATATCAGAAAACAAACAAACAAACAAAAAAAGTTATAAGCCAACATATACAAAAGCATTTGCAGCATTTCTTATTGTGCAATGAAGATTGATCTATATATATTCTCATTTGAAATAAGAAACTCTAGAGTGTGTTGGACTAATATGTGTTCTTAAGAATTCTTTCCTTTTCATGAAGTGTACTGGACTGTGGAATATTATTTTCGGAGATAGTAAAGGCCATAGTTTGGAAGGATAATTATGTCTCAGTCTGCCTCAAGAGGCAAGAGATGGTACTTCACTAGTTAAACAGCTATGTGCCTCATTACAGCCCTCTCTCATGAATAGGTTGACCCATGTTTCTCTCGCTAAGCAGTTACTGTTCTGATTTAAAAATATCATTCCAGCGAGCTATGCAAGCTGTAAAATTAAGATGACCTATTAATATGCTGGCACTATTTTACATTTTCTGAAATGATAAAAGCTGATTTCCATCTAAAACTGAAATAACTTTAATGACCACCAAAAGATTTCTAGGTCAGTATATGTAGTCAAATATGTGACCCTGGACCACAAAATCTGTCTTAAGTCGCTGGGGTATATTTTTAGCAATAGCCAAAAAAAACATTGTATGGGTCAAAATTATCGATTTTTCTTTTATGCCAAAAATCATTAGGATATTAATTAAAGATCATGTTCCATGAAGATATTTTGTAAATTTCCTAACGTAAATATATCAAAACTTAAATTTTGATTAGTAATATGCATTGGCAAAAACTTCATTTGGACAACTTTAAAGGCAACCGTAAATATATCAAAACTTAAATTTTGATTAGTAATATGCATTGGCAAAAACTTCATTTGGACAACTTTAAAGGCATTTTTCTCAGTGTTTAGATTTTTTTTGCACCCTCAGATTCCAGATTATTCAGTTTTCAGATGATGTATAAATCTCAATTTTTAAAAATGGACCCTTATGACTGGTTTTGTGGTCCAGGGTCACATATAAGAGTGTGCCACAGAAAATCCATGGGAAAATTGTTCTCAATTGAGTTAAAATGTTGACTTTATGTTGAGTTTTGTTTAGAATGGATTTGTTAGTACTGACAGTATGCATGGAAATACATTTTCTGGCATTATTGATAAAATATTTACATTTTTATTTACATTTTTTTATTTATTATAATTTATTTTTAGAAAATATTCTACATGCCAATGCGAAGGTCCTCAGAGCAGTGGTGCTTATAACAAGGAATTCCCTCAAGTAAAATGAGCAATTCAGTTTAATTTCTTAATGATCATTTTCCATGTTGCATAGCTCTTTATCTGGTTTCCTTGGACTCCTGTGGTCCTGTAAAAAAGTACCTGGCAAACGACCAGGTATATGGTGAACTCTTTTCTAATTACAGATATATTGAAGTATCAAAGGACTATTTCAAGTATTATGAAAATTATTTAACCAAAAAAACAGTCTGAAAGAAATGTGACTTTTAAGGTATAAATATTAAGGTGCACACTTATTCTAGCATATTTATTATAGGACATTTTATTTATAGGACACTTATGATATAATCCAAGGATTGGAATATTTAATCGTCTTCATCAAATCTTGCCCTTTGCCTTTTAGAATAGGCCTGTGTACCTTCAGATTTTGGGTTCGACTCAAAATTGAAAATACGAAGATGATTCATAGCATCAGAAAAATTATTTCAAACTTAGGAAGTTTTAAGTCATTCAGGGTGGACTCTTTTCTTGGCTCTTCTGTGACGAATGAATGATCCCTACATATATTTTTTTTTCTCATAAATGTTTGATAGGTTGATATGGGTATGCATTTTTCCAAATGCAAAAAATAAATATATTCTCACCAAATGCTTTATATATTTAAAACATACACCCATGTTTAAGAAGGAAACACAAATTGACACTATTTTACAGCTCAAATTATTTATACAGTGTTGACCTTTGATGTCTGAGAGCCTTAATGGGCACATTTTCAAGGAATGTTGTTGGTACCATAAACCAAAATTTCTATAAGTGTCAGAGTTTTGCGAATTGTACCGTGAGTTTTATGAATCAATATTAATCTTTTCTTAATTGAATAAAATGTGTGTATATCTGAAAATGTAGTCTCAGCAAGCCTTCTTTTGTAGCGTTGACCACAGTTTATATTCATAAGCGGGTGAGACCACCATGTCAGTTTTTAAAGAAAAATTAATAGCTACAATTTACTCTGTGCGATTTATCCGATGATTTAAACGGTCATCCGTGCGTGAAAATGATAGCGGTGCATTAGCTTCGTGAAAAATGTTTTCAAAATATAGTATTTTGACTATTTGATTTATGGTTTTATATAGCCCAAAATTAAAAAAAAAAAAAAAATCATAAAAATAGATGAATTAATTAGGCCTAATTTATTTATCGAAATCTGAACCTGCATTACTAAATTCCTGCTTTTTAATTGGTAGTTTTGTTTATATTTCATCTGCGAAAGAATAACATTTTTTGGGAGTAGTTAATTAAGTCTAAAGTAGGCCAAGTAATTAGTCTAAGTAAAACGGAGATTGCGCATCGTTTTAAAATAAAGAATATATTCATTTTGGAACGTTTCTTTTATATTTTTACAGTAGCCTGTAATGTAGGCTACTCACATTCAAATAGACCAAACAGAGGATTTAGAAATGAATTTAGAAATCTCTTTATAGCGGCAAATTCGTTTTACTTCAGTCTCATGGAAGCCTTTCAGAGCATAATCCAAAAACATCCCTCTGGAATCTCCCAAATAACTTTACTAATCCTAATTTGCAAACGAGAAGATACGCGGACGTCAAAGAAGCAGAACCTAAAGGTCATGGAGGGTCAGCTAAGGACTAAACTGAGAGAAAAGGTAAAATAACAAAAAAAAGTGTCATGAAGTCCTGGAAAAAAAAAAAAAACTCGCAAACAATCGTATTGATTATCCTCCTTATTTATAATTATATGTAAATCTTATTCAACTCCTCGCGCGCATGGATTCAGCTTTGCTGCTTTGAAACGTAATAAGTTTAACGGAATCAAAAATTTTAATTTTAATAAATGTTTAAACTATTTTAATTGAATCCAATTTATTTAAACGTAGCCTAGCCTACTGGCTAAATTGGTAAATTGAATCTAACGTTTAATATAAACTCCTCAAAATAACATTGGTCGTTTGATCCAGCAGATAATGTCAGCAATCCCTGAGCTTTATCAGCCACTACCAGTGTTGGGGTAACGCATTACAAGTAACGCGAGTTACGTAATCAGATTACTTTTTTTCAAGTAACTAGTAAAGTAATGCATTACTTTTTAATTTACAAGAGAATATCTGAGTTACTTTTTTCAAATAAGTAGGCTAACGCAAGTTACTTTTTTTTTTCCAATTTATTGATTGACAGCTCTCCTGTCCCCATGCTGAGAGAAACCAGATGTTACTGTAGTTCCAAAATAAATATGAATATGCATTAATTCATCTCACTCACTCACAAAAAAAAAA